TGGCGGCTCTTGCAGGCGCGGGTGGGGATGCAGCCGACGGCTTCATGAGCAGCGCAGACATGGCCCACTTCATGTCGACGGGGGATGGTGACAGCAACAGCAACAACAACGCCGCTGCCGTCGATGCTGATCCAAACAGGCCCAGCACCAAGTTTGTGCACAAATTGTACCGCATGGTGTGCGATCCCGACTATCAGCACCTCATCTGTTGGAACACAAACGGGACGAGCGTGGTGGTGACGCACTTTGACGAGTTTGCCAAAGAGGTCCTTGGCAAGCATTTCAAGCATTCCAACTTTTCCAGCTTCATTCGGCAGCTCAACATGTGAGTTGGCGCGCTACGCTCACGTCACGGCCCCTCTCACGTCACGCTCCCTCTCACGTCACGCCCCCTCTCACGCTTTCCAGGTACGGCTTTTACAAGGTCAACAAGACCCCCCGTGGACACCGAAACGCAGTGGATACGCAGGTGTGGGAATTCTCGCACCCCAAATTCCTTCGAAATCGACCCGACTTGCTGGATGATATTCGACGAAAAGCGCTAGACTCGGAGCATGCTCGCGTCGAGGCGAGAGATTTGCAGTACAGCGTTTCGGTCGGGCAGATGCACCTTCGAGCTCAGGTGGACGAGATGCACTTTCGATTGGACGAGTGCTTGGAGACCAACATGAGCCTTCGAGGGGCGCTCGTTAGTATGAGGGAGGTGCTGGGTGGCGTGCTAGATTGGATCAAGGTGCAAAATGGCGGACAATTGCCGTACGAGCTGAGAATGATTCGAGCAGACATTCCCATCCCCAGTCCCATGGCACCCACCTGGCAAGAATCGCCGTGGATGAGCGGACCGCCTAGCGCCGCTGCTGCTGCCGCTGCTGCTCATCCGCATCACGATGGCCCGCCCATCTTTGTCACCGAACCGCCCCATGGTGGCGTCATGGCAGGTCCGCCTCAGCACTCGCCCAATCCCAACATGCATGCTGGGGAAAGCTACGACGCATTCTCGATGGGAGGTCTATCCCAAGTCAGCCCGTTGGGCAGCAGACGCGTGAGCGCAGAGCA